CTTGGGATCCAATTTTTCAAACATAGAAGCGGAATTGCTTCTCATCCCTTTTCTAGTCCTCCTTAGACCTAAGACCTTTACAAATTTTGTGGTAAAAACACAAAAATAAGTCGCTTTTCCGGGAAAACGGCACATTTTGACCAAAATACCAGCTTTACGACATTGTTTTTGGACAATTTTTCTATTTTAAATATAGGTATATTTGACTAAAAATACTATTAAATACATTGCATTAAATTACTAGACATCTCAAGACTTCCACAATTAAAAAAATTGTATTTTTATCATTCAGGCATTTTCAACGGGTCTTTCACAGGATTTTGAGAGCTTACAGCTCGCTAACAGGGATTCATTTGAAATTTTCAGGCTGCCAGCTTTTATTTTTTGCTTCCCGGGACCCAATAAGCAGGGGCAAGCTAGCAAAGATTCTTTGCAATTTTTAGCCGCCTGATTTTTCTGCCTTCACCCTAAAATTTGCCGTTCTCCTATAGTGCCAGGCAGGGTGACGACCATATGGTTAGCGTGTCGAGTGTTTTCCCCCGGAACGCCAGCCTGGTTTTTCAGCATTTTCGAGGGGCAGTTGCGAGTTTTTCCTGTCGATTTCCGCAAGAAAATGAGGGAAAAAGTGGTCATTCGGCCGGGGCGTTCCCTAAAAAACGAAATGTCAATAGGTGTGGGGGGGCGGTTTGGGGTGGCTATCTGGGCTCGGGGCGGGCGGGCTGTGAGTTGTGAGTGTTTACCACATCTTTTGCAAGGCATCAAGGCTGTTGACGAGTTCAGTTTTTGGCCTCGTTCAGCCGGGGCTGCTGTTTTCTAAAAATCAGTTGTGCTACATGGTTAGCCATTTTCATCTTGATGCATTTCATTTTCATACTATTACTGGACAATCTTGAATTTTTATTCATTATTTGGTGAATTGAATTTTTATTTATTTTTATTGAATTTAATTTATTATTTCTGATATATTTATTGCTATAATTTTCTGATAACAGAGAATTAATCGCAGCAATCAGGCTGTATGGCACGGTTCTTCTGCATTATCGGGGTGGGGTGGGGGGGGGGTGGGGTTAGAAGGGGCAAACCCATTTTTTTCCTAGAGGTCCAGAAATGCCTATTAACAATATAATATGTGTTTCAATAATCTTCTTAGTAATATTTAAGCTGCTTTAAGGTGGAAAAATTATCGAAAAACTTTAAAACATTTTGAAATTTTGGACGAAATACGCATTTTTTTTTGAAAAATCGTTATTTTTGTATTGTTTGTGGGAAGATATTGTAAAGTAAATATTTACCTTTAGGGATTTTACTCAAAAACTTCCTCGCTTGATATTAAAAAATTGAAAATTGTTCAGAACTTTCAGTAATTGTTCACCATTTTAAGTTGTGTAACATACTTCTTCACGGCCTTCCACGGCTTACCAGTTTGTTTTAAATTTCGGTTCGTTATCTAAAAATTCTGCATCATTCCCTAAAATGAGTCATTGCACGCTATCAATAAAGGGCAATAATCAATTTTCTGAATACGTACCGGTCGTGTTGCCTATTCAAACCTGGAAAACGACCGGCGGTCCCCCCCGGGGTTCAAAGCAACCCTCGATTTTATGGGGCACGATGTGTGCCGAATGGTACGGATCGATCCTCGAGCCAGTTTCTCTGGTCTCTCTCTCTCTCGCTCTCTCTCTCTCTCGCTCTCTCTCTCTCTCGCTCTCTCACTCCCTCTCTCTCGGACCCTACCAATACCTCGGGCTTTTACGACAGTTTTTGAGCTTCTAGGGCCGATCCAGCTCGGAATCTGTGGACCTCCAGAATTATGGATTTTGCAATTGTTGAGTTATTTGTAGCCTTGTAGTTTGCAGTGTGTAGTTTGTGGTTTGTACTCTGTAGTTTTCTAGTTGTTGCATCGATTTTACGCCCACGGATTCGAGGCTTTTTTGGGGGTCGGTTGATTTTCGGGGGTGACGATCTGTTTGGGTGGACGTCCGTACGTTTCTCGGTCCATATTTGCGGACTATAGGTGGCGACAGAGTGAGAGAGAGAGCGAGAGAGAGAGCGAGAGAGAGAGAGAGAAACTAGGAAATTGGTAGCCGGATCGTCAGACGCTCGCACTTTCCGAGCAAAACTATTAGGTCTCGTCTCTCTCGTCTCTCTCTCTCTCTCTCTCTCTCTCTCTCTCTCTCTTTATATCTCTCTCTCTGTCTCTCACTCTCTCTCTCTCTCTGTCTCTATCGCTTTGTCCTACCTTCCGAGACAGACGTACAGATAAGAAACCGCTCGAAAAACACACAAAAATCGTCTTACCAAACGAAAAGGACAAGATTTTCACCGCTTCTAAACGAGGTGTTCATCTAGCCACATCCGATGGACAGACAGGCACACATAAAGAGGCAAACACACCTAGCCAGCTAGCCAGTTGTACACCGAAGCCCCCCAGGCAGACAGTCAGACAGACTACTCAAACAGAGCCCCGGAAAAATTGATCCCCCCCGCGGTCCTGCTGTCCCCCAATTCCCAATTCAAACGCGCGGTCCAGCCACCCAGGTGCGCATAGTAGTGTCGCGTCGTCGTTCGCGTCCTTTCCGAAGAGAACACCTGGACCGAACAGCCGTCTGTCTGAGACGCTATCGGGTTGTCTGTCCGTATGTCTGTTTCTCTGTCGCTCTCTCAACTTGTCGTCGTCGTCACGCGTCGTTGTTTACCACTCGCGACGCTTTCAGCTGATTTTTAAACCCGATGGCCCGGCGGATAACAGCCGGGATCCGGCCGGGCCGGCCTGGTTTTTTAGGTCTTATCCGGTTTTTAATGATATTTAAAGTATATTTTTACTGTGATGTTTTTTACGGTTTTTCTATGCCTTTTATGGCTGTATGAAATATACTGAAGTTTTGAACCGTTGTTCCTCGTTTTCGTTTTAGTAAAAATAGGTTTATGACCGATTTTTTTTGCTTTTCAAATTGCAATTCAAAAACGTCATGTTTAAGATGCTTGAAGGCATCGTTTTTAGATGTATTTATTCTAATTTCTTCTTTATCTATTATCATTTTCGAAAAATTACGTAATTCGCTACTTTTATGTTGACATAACGCTAGGAATGACTTGGCCTAGATAAGGAAAATTTATATTTTCCTAGGATCTTTTAGAATTTTAAAATTAGGATCTTGCAGATTGAAGAAGCTTTTTACGTATTTTTTCTGTACCAAATCCAAAAAGTGTAAGCTACAAATCGATACCCTCTTACCCCTCGTTAGAAATTTGCACTTTTAGCCCTCCGTCTCCGTCTTCCTTGCGTCATATTTTTCGTAGTTTCTAGTTTATAGTTTCGTTGCTTTTTGTACTTAATTTTCTACGCATTAATACGTTAATAGGTGCAAAACGCACACTATTCATACTATTAGATGAGGCAGGATATTCAGAGCACTCCAGAAACTCCAGATCGATCTCAAAATACCTATCTAATTTCCTTAGAAATTGAATTAATTTTTAGGCTGTATTTTTGGAAGTTTTTATGCAATAGATTTGAGGCAGAAACCATAAGAGCTGCCCGAGAAATTTTTGCGCCCAGAAAGAAGCAGTGGGAGGGGAGTGATGAAATGGGGCCGGCCAAACAGCCCCGAACATTCGAGACCACGTCCTCAATTTATTCCACTCATTTGCCTCAGAATTTGTAGGAATTTACATTTTTGGCTAAAAATCACTATAAATTTGTGAGACATTGAACTTCTTCTTTTCGATGAGAAAATGGGAATAAAACTCGTTGTTTTAGAATATATCATTGCGTAACCAATGGCAATTTTGAAAGTTAGATAACTGCAAATTTTTTAGATACCTTTCTATATTTCACGTTTCACCGGTGTCGGATTTTTGTTAAAAAGTTCAATGCTAAAATAAACAGGATTGGATAAATGTTGCTAAATAAAAATCTGGGTCATTTTAATGATATGAAATTGAGCATGAACTCGGTTACGCTCACCTCTCTCTCTCTGTATCTCTCTCTCTCCCTCTCGCCTCTCTCGCCTCACTCGCTTTCTCCCCTCTCTCTCTCTCTCTCTCTCTCTCTCTCTCTCTTGTCTTCTCTCTCTCTCGCTCCTCTCCTCTCTCTCGCTCTTCCTCTCTCCCCTCTCTCTCTCTCGCTATCTCGCTATCTCGCTCTCCTTCTCTGCTTTGATTTCCTTAGCTCAGGAGGTTGGCAATTTCCAGAATTTTTTCTACTTTTTTTGCCAAGATTCCTGACAGCCGAGAGAACTTTCTGGGTGCTGCCAGCACGAGGCATGGGGCAGAAGCCGTCGTCGCGGGGATGGGCAAAATGGCTGTCGGCGCGCATCTACGACAAGATCGATCACGATCCTAATCGCTGCGGGGCGCGCCAGCAGTTCTTTCGCCAATATAATGTATACATCATTAATTTGCGATTTCACGTGGCCGATCCAAACGAAGAAGAAAGCGGGTCAGGCCACTCGGTTTTGGTTCATTAAGTAGTTTGGTCGCCGTTTTTGGAGCAGAGGTCAGGGAGAACCGAGTGACTTTGAAGGGTATTACATGCCAGGCCTACGCCTAAGCCAATCCTAAGCCCAAAACCTAAGCCAAGCCTAAGTGGCCTGAATTCCCCCTAAGAACTTCCCGTTTCCGCTCAATTTTCATGCTTAATTTGTCACCATTTATTGATTTCGTTTAAGCTGGCACAGCTGATTTTTCTGACGCCCCCCGAGTCCTGATAATATTTCTGTTTTCTGCATTGTTTTTGCATCATCATTTCTTTGCACGACATGGATTTCCAGAGCTCCACTGCCATCCACCATTACGGGCCACCATTCAGGGACGCCACACGCCGAGGAATGAGAGAAAACGAGAAGCCAGGAGGTTGGGTTTATCATAGACTGTAGCGAGGTGTCACCCTACCTTTAATTTTCTGTATGTTAATTAGTTCTGGGGCCCAAAAATCTCTTGCTAGCTTGAAAGATCTTTCTGACACTGATTTTCCACTTTTAAGAAGTTTACTTTGTAAAATGAGGCCGAAACGAGTTGTCAACATCCCGTTAAAAATTCGTAGGAGAGCAAAAGAATCTCTGCTAGCTCTCCCAGATCTTTTTTAAGCAGCTTGGCGATTTTCTATGCGATAAAACGAGGTGTGGCCACACTGTTGAAAACGGTCTCAGAGTGCAAAGCATCTCAGCGTAGCTAGGATTTTTGCTCGAAATTCTCGATTTTCTGCAAGTTAAGCCGTGGTGTCGCCATCCCTTTAAATTGGTTCGAGGGCGCAATGGATCTCTGCTAGATCGCCTAATTTTTTTGAAGAATCGTCTATCACTTATGAGCTATTTGCTAATTGTTACTCGCGATTCTAGACAAAAAGTGGTGCCACGATCCCTTAAAACGATACCGGAAGTGCAAATAATTTCTGTCAAGTTACCCGGTTTTTTAGTTTAGGTGGAGTGATTTATGATTTGGCTGTGAACAAAATCTTATTTATCCATTTCAGACGACGAGATAGTAGAAGTAGCAGCACGGAGAGCCTTGCAAGAAGACCTCCACGAGCCGTCCACCTATCGCCTCCCAGGAAAGCGAAACGGGTATGTGATTGAAACTGGCTTAAAGGCGTTATAAAAGGCAGATTCAATTTTTTACTGCTAAATTTATTTAAAAACTTCAGCCTTAATTATGACTCGCGGTTTCAGGACGACGACCAGCACTTTGGGTGGTGGCTGGCGACGCTGGCCGTCTGCCTGGCTCTACCCCTCACCGTTTGGGGATTGGACGGGTCGCGGAAGGCCGGCTAACACTGATAACGGTCAGTCCAAAGAACTGATATACCCTGGGATCCAAGAATCTTACGAGGAATACGTCATTTTTACGCTGTTTGGTCGTTCTTATGCAATTTAGCTCGGATTTTTCTCGATTTTTTGGCCAGATGGTTTTAACTTTCCAGGTCTTCTCTAAATCTTAGTATCTTTCTCTCTCTCTCGCTCTTGCTGTCTCTCTATCTCTCTGTCTCTCTCCGCCAGAGTGTTTTTTAGCTACGTGGATAATTCAATAAAAAACCCTGGTTGGCACTCATCCGCTCTGAGTTTTTTCTATCTCTAGCTCTCTCACTGCCTCACTCTCTTGTTCCCTCTCTCTCTCTCTCTCTCTCTCTCTCTCTCTCTCTCTCTCTCTCTCTCCCTTCTCTCTCTCTCTCTCTCTCTCTCTCTCTCTCTTCTCTCTCTCTCTCTCTCTCCTTCTCTCTCTCTCTCTCTCTCTCTCTCTCTCTCTCTCTCTCTCTCCCTTTCTCCTTTTCTCTCCCTCCCCTCTCTCCCCATCATTTGGAACTTTGCTCGATTTGGGTGGGGAGACCGGCTTTTTCTCCTCACCGCGCGAGCTGTGCCCGAGAGAAAGCGCCGTATTTTGTGACCCGCGCGCCCAATTGTTGACCATAAATTCGTTTCCTAGCGGTCGCTGCTCACGCGGCCAATAATTGGCCAAAACCTTTGCGGGTACTCCATTTTTTCCCGTTTCCTCAAGCAGCCATGGTCCTTCAGAGCACCAGCACGTCTGCTTTTGACCTCACTATTGATCGCGAGTTGTCGGGGATTGGTTGTGGATTCCACAAATGGTTCCGGCTAGATCTCTCTCTCGCGCTCTCTCTCCAGTTCTCTCTCTCGCACTCTCTCTCCTTCTCAGTCTCACTTCGTCTGCCTGTCTTTCTCCTTCACTCTCTCGCGCGGCCGTTCTCACTCCATCCATTTAGGCCACTTGTAAACGCTAAAAACTTCAAACTTAAGAATTCCGCGTATATATCATTCCTCTCTTTCTCTCTCTTTCTCTCTCTCTCGCTCTCGCTCTCTCGCCTTTTTGTTCTACCTATTAACATGCATTTACGAAAATTAATTTTGAGGAAAATATCCCACAAGCGTTATACGTCTTTCAAAAGTTGCTTTTGGACATAGGATTGTTTTTGTTGTAGGATCCAAAATTGCACCCAGCGGTTGTACAACCTCTCCTGTATCAATCTTTTCTGCCTCTCCCCTCGCCCACTCTCTCTCTTCCAAAATAGTCTCAGATTTGTGCTGTGGTTTCTGCCCGACCCCCGCGATATCCACCACATCCGTCAGGGCAACCTGAGTCGCCCCGAGTTATGCTTTGTTCCCTAAAAGTTGGGCAATACGCGGAGAGAGCGAAAGAGAGGGGAGGGAAACGAGGAAGAGAGGGGGAGAAATAGCTGGAAATTGAGGAGGTAACCGCTGTCTTTTGCTCACCCCATGCTCTTTGATGGCTGTTTGCCTGGCCGCGTGTCTTTCGGGAAGTTGTGCTTTGTGGTCCCCAATTCTGGTCCTTCTAGCCCATGCCCGAACACTGTCGCCACTTCCAAGCCCCCGGGTTGCTGCCTAATCTATTGATCAGGATTTTTTTTTTTTTTTTTTTTTTTGCGAATTCCCACCTGCAGCTGAATTGATTTTCTGGGGGGACGTTCATGAGAGAATTTGGTACATTGTCTACAGTACAGCGTCCAAGTGGGAATGGGATCCTTGAATCTTGGACCCGTGGGATTTTTGGAGCTCTGCGTGGTTCATTAGCGACCCCTGAAAATTTGGCATTTTTTCTCTAGCTTTCTTGTATGCAATCAAAGGCTCCCGTCTCTATCTCTCCGTTTTTGTCTCTATATCTCTCTCGAGCTCGGTCTCATGATCACTCAATCAAGTCCTCTCTCACTCGCTCGCTCCGTTCTCGCTTTATATTTCTCGCTAACTCTGGTTCATCCTCACTTTCTCTCTCCTCCTCTCTCTCTCTCTCTCCATCGCTCTCTCGCTCTCTCTCTTCTATCTCTCGCATATACGGTCTTCACTCCTCACTCGCACTCTTGCTCTCACCCTGTCTCTTACTCTTTCACTGGCTCACCCTCTCTCCTCTCTCTCGCTCGATTTCCTTCTCTCTCGCTCGCCGTCTCTCTCTCGTATTCCCTCACCCTCTCTGCTTCTCTTGGTTTTATATCTAACGCTACCTCCCACCTCGTGCTCCCTCTCTCATTCTCTTCTCTTCTCTACTCTCTCTCTCCCTCCCTCTCTCTCGTTAATTTCTCATACAAGCGCCTTCCTAATCTGCAATTTCCATCTGACACCACCCGCTCATTCATCCCAAACCACTCCCATCCTTATCCTCCGGATTCTGACCCTGAAAATCCTCCGGCTCATCCGAATTTTTGGTACCTTTAGCTGTCAAAACCTGGCAAGATGCGGCATTATCTCCTCCAATCGAAATTCCACTCCTGCCCAAATATTCGATTCCACAACCCCTACATTCCATCACGTCGCGGCCCTTTCCAACGATGTCGATTTGCAGACATGTTCTTCACCCCCGACTACCGCGATGTCAACTTTTTCGACGCGTTCAAGCTGAAGGAGCCGCGTCCGATCGACATACGGTGGGTTGCGGAGTTTTTTGGAGTACATCGTGTACAGAATGCCACCCTCAAATTTCCATGTCGTTTCGCGAGAAGGCAATCATCTACGTTCCCGTTTAAGCGTATATCTCTTCAGAAGGCTTACGAAGCTGTAACAAGATAAAGTTCATTGATTCTTAATGGGAAAACATGATTCTGAAGTTAAAAACCGTCCAACTGCAAACGGGAATAAGTGGAAAAGCTTTTTAGCATTCACTTTCTATGGTGATGCCTACTCTTCGTTATTGATATTTCGGAACTGGGGGACAGAAAGCAAATTTGCGAGGTGGTGATCCGGTTTGCTCGGAAGCCCGGGTCAAGTAACTAAAAAAATCGAATTTGGCTAAAAAAATCGATATTACAGTCGTCTGAAGATTTTATGCAATGGTTTGTCCGAGTAAGAAAACTATATGTAAAAATACAGGACTAGATCATGGAATATTTCGACTTCTTTTGAAAAAGCCTCGTTATGCCATATGCTCCATTTTCGCCGCTTTGGTCTTTTCCTCCCAAAACGTCTAAAATGCCTTCCCCCGTTTACCCAACCTCGGAGCAGTCTTTTGGGTGGAGCTGCAGGAGGGCGTGTGAAGCCGCCGGGCGACTTGCGATCCAGGGCGTCCGGAACGGATCGGATCAGGAAAATCGTCCGCGCGGAGAAAAGGGCATTTGCTAGCCCCGAGGGCATGTTGGGGGGTGATAGCCGTGCGAGGAAATAGACAGTCCCATTCTGGGGGTGGAATTTGTCACGGATGTGCTTTTCGAAGGTTAGGCTTGGAAAGGCGTCTTAGCTGGTTTTATTTAGGAAAATTGGAGTGCTAACTATAAGAGCAGCTCGTTATCTGCTCTACCCTCTCTCCTCTCTCTCTCTCTCTCTCTCTCTCTCTCTCTCTCTGTACTCTCTCTCTGTCTCTACTCTCTCTGTCTCTCTCCCTCTCATTCGCTTTCTTTCTCTCTCGCTCTCCCCTCTCTCTTTCCGATCTCCTCTCGCTCACGCTCTCTCTCACCAGGCACCCAATCTCTCTTTCGATCTCTCTTCTCTCTCTCTCTCTCTCTCTCTCTCTCCTCTCTCTCCTCTCTCTCTCTTATTCTCTCACTCTCTCCTTCCCTCCCGCTAATAACCGAGCCTTTGGATTGAACATCCACGGTGATTTGCATTTTTGTTTATTTGGATTTTCCCCGAACTGCTTGAAGTCGACAGCCTTGAGCTCGCAGTCCCTTTTTCGACAAGCTTTTCATCCAGTATTTATCAGATTTTTTCCAGGGCATAATTTCCCTGCTGTCGGTTCCGATTGTCGGTGAGTTGGTGGCTGTGGATTGAACTGATTCTCCAGACCACCCTCCTCGTCCTCCTCCTCCTCCTTCCCATCAGCTTGATCCCCTCCCAGGCTTGGAACGGAAATCGAAAGATTCCCCCCACAACACTGCCCTGCCACCCCCAATCAGCCCACTTTTTCTTTCGGCGGACTTTCCGGAAAAATTGAAGTACGATCGTTCGGATCAATCCGGTGGACGGTTATTGATTTTTTCCATTGGATCCAGTCTTCAGTAATTTTCTCGATTCATCAACCTAACACTTGTACGACTTGTAAGCATACCCCTTGACTAGCATGTGTAGTACGTTATGTATCTAAATTTCATTGCAATTTTGCGAATGCCGTGGCGACGCCGAGAAGCTGATCCCGCTGAGCAATCGACCGCCCTCGGTCCCGTTCTGATGCCCGTGCTCGTTCAGCAGGCACCAAACCTACCCATACTACGGTTGGTCTCTCTCTTACCGTATCGCTCCTCTCTCTCGCTCTCTCCTTCTCGCGCGCTCTCTCGCGTTTTCTCGCACTCTCTCTGTCATCTCTTTCTCTCTCTCTCTCTCTCTCTCTCTCTCGCTCGCTCTCTCTCTCTCTGAGAATTTATAGTTTCAGAACGCTTTACAAAGCTCAAGCCGTGCTTCCGACGACGAGCCGTCCCTTGAGGTCAGTTTTGCTCAAGATCACGGGGCCCTGGGAGATTTAAGCTCTCCAGTGAGCTCAGCTAAGCCCAGGATTCGGCCCAAAAGCCGGCCAGTTAATCAAGGGACTTCCCGGAATAGAACATTTGCGCGTAGTTAGGTGCCTACGTAGTTGAACTATCCGTATTTTGAAAATTGAGAACACTAAATTAAGGATTTTTGAGCTTAAAGTATCTTTAAAGGGACCCGGCCAATCGGAGGGAGAAAGCGCGGGAGAGAGCAGGAGAGAGAGAGAGCGAGAGAAAGAGAGAGAGAGAGAGAGAGAGAGAGAGAGAGAGAGAGAGAGAGAGAGAGAGAGCGATTAATAGCAGACATGGCAAACGGCCGGGCCGCCGGCTTTTTTTCGGCCGGAAAATTAG